GTCGAGTTCTGGTCTTCCTTGGGTTTGTATGATAACCCCCGGCTTGCCAAGTTGGAGCCGGAGTATGTTGAGAACATCGAGAAGATCATCCAGGAAGCCAAGGACTCCAGGACACCGTTGCGGCACACCTACAATGTAAGCCCCCAGGAGGCGAAGCAGGTGATTCATAAATGGAAGCCGGCAATTGAAAAGGAGCTGGGCGTGGTTGAGAAGGGGTTCCTGAGAGTTGACGCGAAAGACATCGCGATCCTAAAAAGGAAGTATGTGGTTCAGGAACTTCCATCAAAGTTGGTCTACACCGTCAAGCCGCCCAACATAGCCGATGATGACACCTCCGAAGAGTTCTACGGTCGGAGAAAGGCTAGAATAGTCTGTTGCGGCAACTTCGCGGCTGAGGACCAAAGTGAACTGTTCGCCGGCGGTGCGGCGGCAGAGAGTCTCAGATGTAGTTTGGTGTATGCGCTCAAGCGACTTTGGCGAGCGGCCATAGTCGATATCGCCGGAGCATTTATGCTCACTCCGCTGGCTCACGTGGAGGGCGGCGTCGTCTACATCATACGACCCCCAGCGGCTCTGATACAGCTGGGACTGGCCAAGGAGTCCGAAAGATGGATGCTCACGCATGGCATGTATGGCCTACGACAATCACCAAAGTTGTGGGCATCGTTCCGGGACACCTCCATGAGCGAAATGAGCGTTGAGGCGGAGGGAAAGCAATGGATGCTGTTGAAAGGCCGGGCGGAGCCTAACCTATGGCTTGTCTACGAGGTTGGTGCGGCTCTTACCAAGGAGCCGGCAGCGTTGGTCCTAGTCTACGTGGACGACATCCTCTTATCAGGACCGTTATGGTTGGTGACGGCGTTGGCAAAAATGATTGGCCAAAAATGGAAGACCTCACCGCTGGATCTTCTGACTCCAGACCATGATGTGAGGTTCTTGGGCTGTGAGCTCTCTACCAATGAGGATATGGATGCCATCTACGTGCACCAGCTGCCCTATATAGAGGAGATCTTGCGGCTCCACGAGGTGACTCAGGAGGAGCAGTCGCACATCCAGGCCCCTCGTGAGATGGTGACCTTTGAAGCTTTTGAAGGTGAAGAAACAGGCACCCCCGATGAGGTGCGCCAAGCCCAAAGGCTTTGCGGAGAGCTGTTGTGGCTGGCACAAAGGTCGAGGCCGGACGTGAGTTTTGTGGTAAGCGCCATGGGCTCTCTGTTGACGAGGGCGGCCCCTCGATGCCTACGTGTTGGTCGCCGGCTATTAGCCTACCTCCAGCGCACCAAGAATTTGGCGTTGACTTTGAAACCGGTGGGTTCAGAGTTCATTGCGTTCTCGGACAGCAGCTTTGCCCCAAGTGGATCGAGGAGCCACACGGGTATTGTGTTGACATGGATGAACTCTCCGATCAGCTGGAGGGCATGCAAGCAGCCCTTCACATGCCTGAGCACGGCTGAGTGCGAGCTGGTGGCGGCCATCGAGGCGCTGACGATGGCAAAGTCGCTTGAGGTTATCCTACGCCAGTTGGACAACGGGCTAGGGGGGATCATCCTCGGCATCGACAATCAGGCGGCCATTTCCATAGCAACTCCTACTACGAATTCCTCGTGGCGAACACGCCACTTGCGGGTGAGGGCGAGCTACATCCACGAGCAGATTGAGGACGGCCAGGTCATTGTTCGATATGTCCCTGGCAAGGATCAATGGGCAGATTTGCTCACAAAGAGCTTTCCTCGGCAACGACTTGGTGAACTCACAATGTTGTGGGGATTCGTGGACACTGCCGCTGAGGTGATGAAGACAGCGGCGGTCCGGACCATGTTGTTATGTCACCTAGTGCAGACGGCGAGGGCCCAGAGGAAGGATCCTTTACCTCTTGATAGTTCGATGGAGTTGTATGTCATCGTGCTGATGGTTGGCATTGCCTTGATTGCGCTTTGGGAGGCCTTGTGGTGGTTGTGGGATAAATGCTGTTCGAGCCCTACTTCTTCCCGGTCAGCTAGAAGGCTCAGAGGGATTCAGGAAGCCGTGCAGCGTGAACTGGCGGCTCAGATGGCTCAGCGCGAGAGCATCCCGGCGACGCCACCGTTGGCCACGGAACCTACATCTACACCTACGCCTGTGACCCCCCGTAGAACCAGGGGAGCATCGTCCTCTACTACACCGAGCCGGATTCCGGCTACAGTCTTGGGGTCACCAGGGCCCCGGCGAGTTCGAATGGTGGATTCAGCTACGCAAACAGTGATGGATAATGACTACGTGCCTATTGTGGAATACCTCGATCGTGATGTGCCGGTTCCCGTACCTCATCCAGGACCGGTCCTAGTGAGCCCCAACGGAGATCATTTCCACACTGTGCCAAACTGCTGGGGACTGAGGAATGTGGCAAGGCCAAGACGTTTGATGCTATGTACTCTTTGCCAGAACAACGGCGGACGCTCGTTGTACTGAAGGGGTATGCACCTGCCCGTAAAGGTGAGAATGCGTGTCACGACCGAGAAGGTCATGACAAGGAGGAGTGCTGAAACCCTCCGCTCAGGTGCATGTCGTGTGCCGCGATACCAAAGGCCCAAGGAGGCCGCAGCTTGCAGCATAGGCAGGACTTTAATCAGTGCGAAGCACGACCTAAGTCATAGGCCAAGCAAGCACCAACAACGTTCGCTAGGCTGCTAAAAAGAGAGCTTTCGAAATTCGTGATTCATGGCTTCCTCCGCTGACAATTCTGCAGAGTCTGGAGCTCGTAACCCTCAGCATCAGGGTTCAAGGGGTTTAGGGGTTTGGGGTTTTAGGGTCGTAGCGGTTTAGGGTTCAGGGGATTTTAAGGGATTCGGGTTTAGGGTTTACGGTCTAGGGTTTGGTGGTTGCAGGGTTTAGGCTTGCTTAAACAGAATTCTGCAAACAGGTTGCAAAAAGGATTCTAGAAAGGCTTCTCTTCGGTTTTAGAGTTTCTGGGTTCTGGGATTTAGGGCTCTCTCCGGGGTCAGGGGTTAATATATGATGAGAGTATCTGATTTATTCAGAACAGTTAGACGCGAATACGGTTTTGCAGTGTATTGCGATAGTACGTCGAAATGGGGGCTATTCGGCGGATATGCGGACTCTGTCAGGTTTTGGGTCTGTAGGATACTTTGGTCCTGATCCTAAACCCTAAGCCCCTAAACTCCTGAACCCTAAACCCTCCTAAACCCTAAACCCTGAATCCTCCTAAACCCTTAAACCCTAAACCCTGAACCGTAAACCCTAAACCCTAAAGCCCTAACCCCTGAACCCTAAAACCCCAACCCCTAAGGTGATGCTGCATGTCTCCAACCACAAACATTGAGGCGTCCGAGGCCCGAACTCTAAACCTAACCTTAGCTAGGATGCCCGGTAACCTAGGAATGAAAAGGGCTCCCTTTTTGGTATTGAATAACTTTATAAGGAACCTAGGACTACAAAAAGGGAATAAGGGAACTACTGGGCATCCTAGTAACATAGAACCCCTACTTGGAGGTTCATGGGTAGCTACAAGTAGGGTTGTAAGCAGGGTAACTATACTTATAACCCATATTAGGGGGCTTATAGGCCCATTTACAACGACTCATGAACCTCCAAGTATGATACTTTAAAACGAGACATACCAGAAGTCCTCGTTGTGGAGATGCTTGCATGGAGGGTCCATGTATCTAACTAGTATGTATGTATGTATGTATATATATATATATACTTTGGGCCCGATGTACCGTTTTAGGTAGATCTTGAACAGCCAAATTATGATGCTCTTTGGGTACATGGACCTTTAAAGGTAAGCAGTCATAGTGGCTTGATCGGCGAGCTCATGGTTGGGATAGTACACAAAATTAGCTTCTATTCCATCTTGAGTTTGAGTACCCATAAAAATGTACAATGTTAACCAACTATTGCAAAGTCCCGACATTGCGGGAACCAGTAACAACCGAGGGGACCAGGTCAAAGTGCCCCGGCTTCGCTTTTTCTCACACTCCTCGACTACAGGGCTTTGGTTGAAGGCCCTGGCCCTTTTGTCCGTCTGCGCAAGATTTAGACGACAGGGTTTAGGGTTTCGGGTTCTTGGGCCGAGAGATTTCCCAGGTATAAGACCAATACATGTAACCATCGCTGTCGCATCTGGGTGAGCACGAGCACCAAGAACCACGAGAAGAACGTCTTGAGCGGGCAAGGCCAGAACTCCGGGGTTTTGGCGCTTTGCCTGGCCTACATGTAGTTCAAGAGAAATCCATTCACCTTGGTTTAACCAGTTTCCCAACTTTCCGCCTGAAGTGCGGATCTGATGGTCAGGCCAATCCATGAACTCCCTAAGGCTCCATGTACCCATATACAGTATATACTTAGGCGTTAAAGTACCTATATGGGAGTTTCCGAAAATAGGGGTACCAAGTTTTAGGGTCCTTATAATAAGGGTCCTACTATTTAGGGTACCATATTAGGGTCCCCTATTTTCGGAAAGTCCCATATAGGGACCCCTTTAAGGCCGAAGTATCTACTATAAAGGTACATGGAGCCTTCGGGACTGATTCCGCTTGTTGCAGCGGGGCCGGAAGTTGCAGCGTCAGCTCTTGGTTAGGCTTCCTTGGGTACCTGCAACATCTGCCGCATGCAAGCCCAATGTATATATATATATATATATATATATATATATATACATATATATATATATGTAATCACCGTTTAGGCACATGGATTCTTGCAGATATGGGGTGGGATTTGGGGGGCTTAATTGCAGGCTACACTACACAGGAGGAAAGTAGCCCGAATATCACATTAAGCCCTGGTGACTCTCACAAGTTCGATGCTACATGCCAGCAATTATGGCAAGGGACTTGACGGTTTCTGGCTTGGAGGACATATTATAGGGCTTACAACTTACGGCTTCTGCGAGGTGTTTGCGAGACGGGTCTTCGGGGTTGGGATATTGCGTCAAGGTTTGGGGCACTGGGTGGTGGATGAAGGCCTGCGACCGAGAAAAAAATACATGGAAGCTGCACGGAAGATAGTGCACCGCGAACTGCAGGTCATGTTGCTCACCAAAGTCGAAATACTGCCTCGCCCAGCTATGGACCATGGAAGAAGTCGCCAGTGGGTGGGTATTCAACTTTGGGTGAATAGAATAGAAATCAACATTGACAACGAAATTTCGGCCCTACATCGAGACTGGCTAGTACTAGCTAGCAGAAGTAATGATCTGTATCACACCAAACCCAAACAACTAGACTAATGCCACATTAGTATTCAGTATTATACCTAAAACAAACAAGACGACTAAGGACCCAGCAAATCGGTATCATACCTACACCAAACAACTAGACGACTGAGGACACAGTGATATCAGACACTCCATCCTGAACTCCGACGTCTAGCGCAATTCCCTCCGTCTGTAACGTCGCAAGGAGCTTCGGGAAGGATTCCGAAGCCCAAAACCTTCATGACAACCCAGTTACCTATGCAGTTTTATAGCTGGTCTCATGTAGGAACCTGTTTAACAAACCCAGGGTGTTTGTTAGGGTTCCTTATATGAACCCGACTACTTTCGGGTTAAAGGGCCAGGGTTTCTTGATCAGGTTCCTGCATTAAATATGCTATAAGCCAGCCTAAAACATCCGAATAGAGGGAGCTGAGATAAAGGCCATGTCGTTTTCGAATTTACACATCCTTGGAGCGAAAGTGCCGACGTAGGAAAGATCTTCTCACTAGCCTAGAGGCTCCCTTTATAGTACCATTATGGACTTAGGTCCCCAAAGCCATCTTATGGATGGTCTTTTGGGGCCTAATTCCATAATGGTACTGCCTCTGGGTAGCCTTGCAGCATGCGCATAATACGGAGACGCGGGGGAAGGGCCGAGGATAACACTTCGGAGACATGGGGCTCCCAAACTACTAGCGTTTAGGGGATTTTTGCCCTGTAACTAAAGGGTTTTGGGGGTATTTTGCCCTCTATAGCTGAAGGGTTTTGGGGGTATTTTACCCTGTAACTCAAGGGTTTTAGGGGGTATTTTGACCTGTAACTAAAGGGGTCATCTCATACTATTTGCTAGGGCTTCGGGTTACAGGTATATTCATGATGTCATAAACTGATATATACCCTGCAGTCTTGTGGTTGCAGAGCCTTTTGGAAGCCTCTGCGGGGAGTTCAACGGCGCGGAAAGGGGACTGCCAGTGCATGACATGTTAACTTTGCAGGTCCTGTGGCGAGGTTTCTACAAGAGGCACGCGGCATTGATCTGCAATGTTCGCAGGACCTGGAAAACGAGAACCACGACCCCCCCCCTCCCCCCACACACCTCCCCCAGAAAGAAAGGTTCAGAGTTTAGGGAACTATCCTGCGGTCCTAACCATCCTCGACCCCAAGCTCTATACTCGGCAAATACCAAGCAGAACTCAGCGCTGCCTGAAGATAAGTGGAAACACGCGCCAGGTGATGTCATCCTCTGTGCCTAGGTTGAGGATCTTCGTTTAGGGTTTGGGTTATAATTACATGCGACTTTCCAGTCCTTTCACAGCATCTAACTAAGTAGCACACCACATGTAATCGGTGTGCTCCAACCCCTGAAGCTGCCATAGCTCAACCCATAAGCACTACACCCCAATATACCAAAGTAGAAGCCAGGAAGTTGGAACAACTTAGCCGCATGCCATGAAGCCGAGGAGAGGCATTGTTCTTCCCTAGTCTATGTTCGGGCTCTTGGGGGTCAGTGCAAAACCCTAGCACCCCAGGCATAAGGCCCCCGCCCAGAAACCCGCACCCCCTTACCCCTCACAGTCCGCTGAAGCCATGAAGGGATGTTGGTTGCCAGTTGCTCAGGCCACAGGTTGTTTGAGGTTTTATTGCGTCTCAACGGACTGCATTAGGATTCATAGGGGTTTGGCTGGGTTCTGGGTTTTGCTCGGGGGTTACACGGTTCGCATACTAAGCACTGGGGTCCGGGATTCAGGGTAAAGGAGTCAACTTTGGATGACTCGGGATGTGAGGGCTCATCACTAACACTGTTTCTGAAACGTAAACGTTGCCTACACAGCTACGCAGACACCCTGAAGAAACCTTTAAAACCGATGGCACCTGCAAACGGTGGAACCGCATTTGAGCTCCAGGACTTGGCACCCTCAAGCCTCATTAGCGCCTCGAGCCCTAAACCCCGAAAGCCGAATCCTAGCATCCCGAAGCCCCAGGTTAAGGGTTTAGGGTTTAGGGTTTAGGGCTTAGGGCTTAGGGTTTAGGGCTTAGGGTTTAGGGTTTAGGGTTTAGGTTGCCAGAGCCCCAAAACTGAAGGACTCCATACTGTAAAGCTTCAGAAGCCTAAAGCCCTAAACACCAAAGCCTAAAAGCAGCTGGGACACAGGAAGGCGGCACACAGACACCCAGGTCTGCACGAAGATAGGTCGACCCCAACCTTTGCGATGAAGGTTAAGGCTTCAAGGCTATGGCTCTTCTAGGATTGAGGGGTTTGGGCTTTACGGTTATGGCCTTTGAATGAGCAACGCATACATCGAAAACTTTCTAGGATAAACGTGTGCGAGTGGTTTTGGGCTCATGCTGGGTTCACAGTTGATGCCGACAGCTGGCTTCAGGCCTTCCTGGTCTTAAAAACCGTTAATAATAGACCTGTGACTAATACACCCTTTGCGCTTTGTTTACAGGGATTGTATATCAACCCTAAAAGACAGGGAGGTTATTCATCGGGGGTCTACATTAAGGCTAAGCCTACAAACATCTCAAACCCCAAAAAACCTCAACTCTGCGGCCAAAACTCGCCTGCACCCTAAACATGAAATACCAAAACCAAAACCCTAAACCCTAAACCCTAAACCCTATACCCTAAACCCTAAACCCTGAACCCAAAAACTGGCCCTAACCGATCGGCCTCTTGAAAACGCCTTTCGTTTGCGTCAGTGCCTGCAGGACCCAAGCATCTACCTCTCTGCAAAAGTGGGTGTGAAGAAACTGCAGACGCTTGCAGCCCATTTTCTGTAAGCTAGACATCGAATAACGGTTTTGTGCACTTGAGAAAGCGGCTTAAAACGGACGCAGCACGAATAATGAAGGCCGCCCTGGACTTGCAATTGCCTCCATCGCCATGCCCGTTTGCGCCCGCCGGTATCGGCGTTCTCGCTCACCATGGGAATGACTTGGAATTCTTCCAAGATCAACAAGTCACCCAGCCAGATGAGCATTTGGAAGACCCAACCTGAGTCTTTCGGCCGGCGTGCTGGTGAAATGGGCCGTGACGAGCTCCACCATGTCTCGCAGCTCCGCTAATTCACGGCGGCAGACCTCACGCGGCCTTGGTTGGGAACATCTGTTTAGATGAACAGCTGGGGCCGGGTCTGCAACTCGCGATGCTTCTCCTCCAGCTCCACCTACCGCCTACTGGTGCACCATCTAACCTAGCAGCTGGATGAACCGCATTGGCTGGAGATCCTGCGAAGCTCGCATGCGCCAGTCACGTAGCCGGCCATCTTGATCATCTTGTGTGATGAGAGCTAGGGCTTTCCGTGTCGAGAATTTCGTGCTCGTAAACACCGAGTTTCAGAATCTTGTGAAGCGAGTTAGGGTGTAATGTTTGGGTTTATAGCCCCAAGGGTCCAAGTACCTTAAAATAGTCATATACTCTCCGACATCCTAACCTACATAACTACTATCCTAAACAGAGTACCTAAAAATTGGGTCCTTTGGACCCTTGGGGTAGGGCTTGAGGCTTGGGCCATCGTCCAACACGGTGGCTTCCCCAAAGGCTCCACATGTACCCATATGGTAGGTACTTAGGCCTTAAAGTATCTATGTAAGACTTTAAGGCCTAAGTACCTACACATGGGCACATGGATTTTTAGGCTTTTCGAGGCTGCGGATGCGCAAGAAACTTCTCAAGGCTCACACGGCTTGGTGGCCTGCTTTTTATGGGAATTTCCGAAAAGCAGGGGTACCTCATCTTAGATTACTATTTAGGGTACGATGTTGGGGTCCCCGATTTTCGGACACTCCCATATTGCCCCACGGTAAACAACAAGAGCATGGGGCCCAAGGACAATGCCGAAGAGTCGAGCGTTTAGGGTTCAGGGGTTGGGTTTGAAGTGTAGGGCTCTGAGGCCTTTGCGCCTAAGGACCATACTGAACCATCATTGAGCCGAAGGATTGAGAAGTTCTTGCTTATGGTTCGAGATCTCGCTGTGGCTGATGATATAACTCCTGCATTACCCATAACAAGGAATATGCCATAATTCCCATAGTTTAGGGTCACTAAGGTAATGCTGGATTTATATCATCAACCTAAACCCTAAACCCCCACAGATCCCTTAAAGGAACCCCTAAAAAGGTACCCTTATAGATCCCTTTAAAGGAACCCCAGGATTTATATCATCAACCGTAGTACGCAGGGTTTAGGGCTTCGCTGCCTCCAGGGTAGCTTTGAAATCAGCTTTGCAGGGAGGCCTGGGTTGGGAACCGAACCGAAACCTACACCTCTCATGCCTTAGTAGATGGTCCTTGATAATTAAGTAATTATGGGGTTTGGGGTATATTATAGTGCAGTTATATTACGGGGCCCTAAGGGACAGTAATTCTACTAGTTCTATGTATTGAATGTCCTTCGTGGCCCCTGATTAAGTACCCCCAAACTCATTGGAATCCAAGAACAGCTAAAGGGAACTCCAGAAAGTTGGAATATGGTTTCAGGGTACGATACCCTATAATTTACCATAAAGGGTTTAGGGTAATCATATTCCAACTTTCTGGCTTTTTCTTTATATGACCCAGCTCGGTGTAACCCAGGTGCATGGTGAAGTAGAATCGTCCGCCGCCATCCTAGGTTGCATTTAACAGTTCTTGCTTCTTCTGACCGCGCCTTTAACCTATGATCACCTGCTTCTCGCGGTATCCCAGGACTACCTCCAAGGCCATGGGAGTAAGTTTTAATCAGGCCTGCAAGCTTGACAAATACACAACCAACATCCGTTGTTAGAAATCGCGAAACCCTTCTAGAGAAATCCTACGGCTGATGCCTATGAGCATTGACTGACCTGCAGGAGCCCATGCCGAGGATTCATGGAAGTGTATCGCATCAAAAAATATGCAGAAACTTCAATCGTAGAGCCCGAAATACCAACCAAAGTCAACCACTAAAGCAGTTTCGACTAAACCTATACCGGTAAATCCTAAGCCCCAATCCTTACACATCCCGGTGCTGTTTAAGTTCTACGCCACATCGGTCAGCCAACAGTCAACAGCTTGGGACAAGGCCCTTAGGGCTGTTATAGGATTATGCAAGGTTTTGTAGGGTTTATGATTAGATAAAGGTTTTACAAGGCTCACGTCGGTTTTATCAGAGAATTCGTAGACACTCTAGTGGAGCTTTGCCAGGGTATGACGGATTTGCTCAGGGGGTCTAGAGTAATTATCCATGATGGTGAACGAACTATCGGCGACATCCTTTAGGCCCACAGTATTGATAGGCTAGCAGTTGTATACTTTGAACCCCCTGTAAACCCTAAACCGCCCAAAATCATCAAGGCACCATTCCACAACCGTAATTGTAATCTCTGTGGAGTCCCTGCAAGAGAATCTAACAACATCTACAGCAGGTGGGACTAGTAAAGTATCACCGGCACATCTTCGTAGCTCTCAGTGTGGGCTTGTAGTTTAGGATTTAGAATTTGGCGTTTAGTGTTAGAGTTTAGGATATGTCGATCAACACGAGAATAGACATCCGGAAGGCGGCCAATCGATTTCGGATGCAGCAGTGAGGGACTGCGGTGCCTACGGCTCTTTGGTAGACCTTTTTGCTGAAGAAACACACGGACCTTCGCCAGCTAAGGTCGTCAGAAACACATCTCAATTCCAAACGTTATTCAGCTTGACCCTTCGTAAATAAATCTCTGCAAGTGTCGAAGCTTCCAAATCGTCAACACAAAACGTGTTGCCCGATGATCTTAACCGGCTGGAGTCAGTTATCACAACCTCCGAGTTATAGATGTAACCAGCTTGGAGTAAGTTGATGGGATACAGCCACGAAGTGCATTATTTCCCGAAGCCCCAAAATCCCATACCTCACACCTCTGAGCCAACACTCACCGAGGCACCATGCAGGCAGAGTGAAAGCCCTCTTGCTGGATAACCTTCCAGCCGCCATTCGCCCAAATCGCCGCTGAATGGGCCTTGCACAGGGTTTGGGGTATTTCGGGTTAGGAGCGCAAAGGTGCAGTTCCTGTGTTGTGCAGAGATGCACCGAGTGCAGGCTTACATACCTAGCGCTCCATTCTACATGCCCTGCCGGTAGCCCAAAATCCTACAAAACGAAAACGGTAGGTTTTGGCCCTACACTGAAAAAATATTCTGTCCGAGTCTAAGCCTTGAAACGGTTAGGTTTCTGGCTCCGCAGATGAAACCTAAGGCCCCAGCTCAGCCGTAAAGTCAGTGGCTCCACGTGTGTGAGTTTCTTGTGCCTACCGAATCCTAAAAGCTGTCTTCTGGCAGGGTTTTAGGATCCCAGGTGCGATACCCCGGCTTTCAGCTTGCATTTTGGGGCTGCCTGGCCCACCCTAAGCCTACCTAAACCCTGAACCTCTAACCTTCTGTAGTATGGCCTGTCGGGCGTGCCACCAAAATCTAGTGGGTCCCATCTGCCTTGGTTTGCGAGGAACGAGCCTGAAGCGACTTCCTTTTGAAACATGGGGCAGCTGTAGCTGCTGGTAGCTTCAGAACACAAGACACCCTGCGATAAAGACCCGAAAAGTATGATCCTTCATAGACGACCCTAATACAGGTATGCCTAGAGGAAGAGTACCCAAAAAAGGTTCAAGGTTACCTGCTCTACTACTATGTAGGGCCTTGTAAAGGAGAGAATCTTTCCTGTAATCCTCCAGGCATTGAGGATTGAATCGCGGATCCATGGCTGCACAGCCAAACCCTGAATATCTAAACCCCAAATGCTAAGACCCCTAATCCCTAAGACTTTGCTTCTTACGGCTCAGGGTTTTGGCTTTAAGGCTGGAGATTATGTAGGGTTTGGTCTCGTCTGATGCATGTATAGGGTCGTATACGGGTCTTGCGAAGGTCTACGGCTTAGGACTTTAATAGAGTCTGCAAGCACAACTTTTATTGTATTTAGGTTTCCCAAAGTTTGCAATCCTACGGATTCTATTCTACTGCTCGCGGGCCTCACATAGGAGCCTCATATAAAGGTTGTATGTTCAGGGATTAAAAGGGGATAGATGATATCCCCCCAAAAGCTGTTTTGCTTGTACGGCTGTTGTATCTGCACTCTCTATTCCCACGCCCCGGAATCCATATGCTGCATTGCATCCATTGCTGTTTGGTGGCAGGTAGGGTGCTGCTGGAGCAACAGTAGCGGAACATCAAGAGCAAATTCGAGGCAGGCCCCCACACTCTAAACCCTCCTACACCCTTAACTCTAGCTGCAAGCCCCAAATGTTCACAAGGCATGCGGACGTTGCTCGGAGTTTCGGAAGAAAGACAAGTTGGGAGGTTCAGTGTCCAAACCTTAGTAGTTAGGGCTTGGAGGCATAAGCTAAGACCAAGACCCTACCCCCCCATGTCCCCCCCCCCAAAGGAAAACATCGAACACACACACACACACACACACCTACCTACCCACACCCACACCCACACCCACACCCACACCCACACCCACACACCCACACACCCACACACCCACACACCCACACACCCACACAAACACAAACACAAACACAAACACAAACACAAACACACACACACACACACACTCTCACAGCCACAGCCACAGCCACAGCCACAGCCACAGCCACAGCCACAGCGACAGCCACAGCCGCAGCCGCAGCCGCAGCCACAGCCACAGCCACAGCCACAGCCACAGCCACAGCCACAGCCACAGCCACAGCCACAGCCACAGCCACAGCCACACCCACACACCCACACACACAAACACAAACAAAAAACACAGAATGACATATCCCACTCCCACGCGACACCGAAATCCCACTCACTGCATTCTACCACGGTCCAGGGCTTTACCCCGGCCCTGGTGGTCTGGGTCGCCCAGGCTTTCATGGAGGTGTCTGAATAACCTTAATAGTAAATAGTATTCCTGCACAATTAAGCCCATAACACCACTAGAATATCCTACCCTAACTACGGTAGGCAGCGGACATTTGGAGAAGAACGGCGATTGAATCAGAGCCTTCTTCCCGAACATCGGGGAGTGAGAGTGTTGTTAACCACCAGCCCTAATATCCTAACATTTGCGGACATGTCTCTCTCTCTCTCTCTCTCTCTGAATGTGGGGCTCATGCAGATATTTTGGTCAGGGAAACGAGGATGCAGCGGAGTTCTTTGCTCGCCATGTGTTGCTGAGACTGCGATTCGCAGCAGAGCGAAAAGAATGCTGGGAAGCTCAAGTTTTCAGACTCTTCCTACACTACCCATAGGCCCCAAAGTAGTTCCTTTTTGTGATTACCTTATAGGATTCTATATATGATATGAACCTCAAAAGCAACTACTTTGGGGTCTTAGGGTAAACTGCGACTACGACACGCACCTCTGGTGCACTTGCTGGGGTCCATCCTCGTCATACTCATCGCCTCAGCCGCATCCAGAAGCTTTCGCTTAAACTTACCTTTGGTTAGTAGGGAATGGAAGAATGGTAGTAATAGTAGTTACGATTGTACCCCATTCCTGCATTCCCTACTAAATCGAAGGTAAGTAACCCCGAAACCTGCATTAGAATGACAAAACTCCCAACAACAAGCCTCTGCTTCGAAACCGACAACAACCTGTCAACATGTCCTGCAAATCTCCGTAGCACCCCACCTAAGTTCATCAAACCGACGGTGGCACCATGTCTGAAAAAGACCCGAACCGTATGGATTTCTGGGCCGTCGGAATGCCCTCGAGGGTTCACAAGCTCAACTGAATCATGTAGAGGCTTTGTGATGACTAGCTTCGCTAGGGTTTCTAGGGTGTTATCGTAGTTGGCATCGGGCCTTGAATAATCAAGTAGAATCAGTTTCAGGTTTCTAGGTATGAAAAGTACGGGGTTACCATTTGTTTATTCAGACGTCCATATTGCAATGGGCTTGAACGGTCTGGGGGGGGCCTTTTTGAAGGATGGGCCCGATTTGCACCTCGAGCCTAGGATGGTTTAAAATTTAGGCCTTTGTTTGCTCGGGTCAATACTTAAGTATACAGTTTCAGGATTCATCTGCCAGCAGGACATCTTACAGAAAGGCTTTTGCCACGATCTTGAGACTCCCCTAAGCCCCAACACCCTAAGGTTCGGGCTCAGGGATTCGACTCATGCCTCCCCTGCAAGCCACGGCACGAGAAAGCCATGTAGAACGAAAACTCGGCAGTGAGGCCAGAGTTGATCCACCCACCCACGTGCTGTACCTTGTGTTGTGCTGAGTATGGGATGGACCATAAATGCCGTACCCTATAAACCGTAACCCCTATAGGTACTATAAGTCCTACACCTCATAAGTCATACGCCCTAAAAACACAAGCCGCACACTGTAAACCCTGAACCCTAAAATCCCTCAACCCTACACCCGACCCCGACGGACTGGTCATGTTTGATTTTGGTTAAATAAGGACTATATGGGACAATCTTGCTCGGGGCCCTTAATCATCAGAATAGGTAGCAGAATTGCATAAGGACTACAAGGGACCATTCTACTAGTTAAAAGTTTTCTATAGTATCAAGTCGGGAGCCTTGCGACTACGAGGCTCCAATGTACAGAGTTTTAGGAGAACTTAGCTCATATATGCATGAACGTCGCTACATTCACACAGATACAGACATATGTATGTACATACATATGTACATACATACATATAACACTCTTTGGTGAAGAGTAAACCTCGACAGCGAATTTTAAGATCCCTTTTACCGTAGCACGAAGTCAGAACAAGGCACTGACTGCAAGGCGCAAAGCCCTCCCTATATGGGGGTTTCCGAAAATTAGGGGTACCTGAGTTTGGGGTCCTTAAAATAAGGATCCTACTATTCAGGGTACTGCATTAGGGTCCCCCATTTTCGGAAACTCCCATATTGTTTAGGTCTACAAGCCTCCACGGCCTGTCCCGATTGCTTGTAACATCAAGCTAAGGAGCCAACACTAAAAGCTACCCAAAGGCCCCAAAGTAGTTCCTTTTGGGGTTCATATTTAGCATTCCGTAAGGTAATCCCCAAAAGGAACTACTTTGGGGCCTATGTGGGTAGAAGCCCTTCCAGAAGCCCGACAAAGGAATCTAAGCCCTAACTAGACCCCAACAGCCAAAGACCTCCCTAAATGTTGAACCAAAGACGAAAACCCCGACCGAAACACAAACCAAACCCTCCCTTCCGGACCTCGGCTCTTTTCATCGAGCCAGACTCGTGTGCCTGCGCGAGCGGCGTCACCTGTGCAATCTGGGATTGACACTGCTCCAACTCTCCTCCTCATCTAATGTACAAGGCTATGAAGAGGCATGGAGAGGTTTCCTTCCACGGCTTTCCACCAGGTCTCGGGATTAAGGGGTTTAGTCAACACATCCGCGAGTTGGCGATACGTGGGTAGCCAGTGGAGCGGGAAACGCGTGTCCCTCCTTTCAAAGTTCAGTGACTGCCGTAGTGCAGCCAGGTCTATAGCGAGCCGTTTGTCCGAGGGAGTCCTCGGCGCTCCCTCCTTGTGGAGGTGATCATATAACGACTTGCAGTCGGAATAAAAACGGACACACTGACCGGACAACTCTTCGACACTGTACAATCTACCACGCAGAAGAGAGAAGATATACGAGCGAAGATATTGCCCCGTCTCAACTCCCTCAGTACAGGCCATCGTCTCGGCAGTGAAAGTCGAGCGGCACACCCGCTGGATTGCAGAGGACTTCCAATCCAGAATGCTCACCGGTCCTCCTTCTGGACTGTAGCACCTAGCATCTCCGATCACAGTGAGCAGGCCAAATTGACTTGCAATCTTGGAACTCGCTTTCTTGGCTTTCCTTTCCTTGTGGTCGAAAGGGGAGTCCTTCATGGTGCCCAGCTCGTGGTCCTCAGCCGTAAGGACAAACTCCGGGTCGTCCTCGTTCTCTCGGGGAAGAGCATTGGCCCAACCTGCGTCGTGGTAGGTGAAGATCTCGAGAGAATCCAGGTCCACTGCCTTAAGCCACAGGCCGTGCTCATGGAATTCCATGGCACGTTTGGCAGTGGCATTGCTGAACTTGACGTCTCCGACCGTTGGTGCTTTCTGGAGTTGTTGTGCAAAGGAAACTGAGCACTGCAAATCTGGCCGCGTTTGAGAGGCCAGCCAACTCAAGGCGCCGACCAAGCTCCTGTTGTCGATCATCTGCTCAGTGGTTGCGGGGTCAGTGTCCTGTTGGCCTTTTTCCGTCTCGATCTGAAACAAGCGGCTTGCTGCATAGGCCGATTGTGTGATGTGGACACCATCCTCGCTGACCTTAACGTGGGAACCGATGTACTCGAAGTCATTCCTTTCCCATTCGTCAATGGGGAGGACAGCATTCAGAGCATCCTCAATGGCCCGTGAAAGCTTCCGGCCACCAACCAGTAGCAGATCATCAACATGAACACCGAGGTAGGCCTTCGGTGGAGACCCTGGGTCCTGAGATGGAACCAACATGAAGACGCATGGATCGAGCACGTGCTGCTTGAACACATACTCAATGCCTTCGTGGCACACCTTGAGTTCCAGGAGGATATTCTTGAGCTCAAGCCACCACGACCTCGGCGAATCCACAAGACCGAAGATCCCCTTGTCAATCCGAAACAAAGCTCCAGGTTCCATTCCTTTAACTCCAGTTCGCGGTTGTCGCATGTAGAGTGTACGGGATATTGGCTTCCCGTTCAAGAAAGCAGCAGTCACATCTCCGGCACTCGCTTGCCAAGGATCAT